CCTTTATTATATTCTTTCTTTTCTTTTTCTTCTTTCTTTCTCTTTTTTCCTGCACTTTTTATTCTTTTTTCTCTCCTCTTCTCTTTCTCTAAGTTTGGTTTGTATTCGTTTTTACTGTTGTCATCAAAATTCTGAATAAAAAAAAATATATTAAAAAAGGACACCTTTTTAGTCAAGTCAAACGTTTATTAAAAGTTTTGTTTTTGTTTTTAAAGTTGATTCATCAGACACATTAAATGTAACCGTAATAGTAATAACATCACAGGCCGGTAAATGTTTTGGATCGACCATTTCAGAATGAAAGACGGTGCAAAATCCAAACGTAGAAATCCTCATCGCCATCACTTTGGTACCAAATTTTGAGGAAGGGGCTCAAGAAAGGGAGGAGGGATTTTTTTTAACCTGGCTGTGCCGGCTAGGGCAATGGGTATTGTAATCCAACGGGTAAGTGGAAGGCACCGGGTTGGGAAACACGAGCCAAGAGCCAGGTTTTGCACGGGAGAAACAGACAGGGCTTGATGCAAAAGGAACAATTTTTTTGGATTTTTGGATGGAGATGAGGGAACTACGATGTAGTTTGGGGAGCTGGCAACTCCGAGACCAGGATTGTGGGACTCAATTCCCGAGCTCAGATGGATCGGCCGAACAAGGGAGGGCCATCTCCTTTCTCCCCCGCTGTTTCGTGGAGGAAGAAAAGATAGCACCACCATGCCAGCCTTCCTCTTCCTGATGCCCCTGGATTACAACTCCCATCAGCCCCAGCCACGGGGCAAGCACTGAGGGAGGTTTTGCCCAGCTGCCCCCTGTAAAAAATAAATGCCTTTGGAAGGGCTCAGCTCTTAACAAGTAGGTAAAGTGTGGCTAACCAGATAACCACAGCTCCCATCTTCCCTAGTCACAAGCAAGTTGGCTAGGGCTAATGGGAGTTGGAGTCCATAAGTCTCAGGAGAGCTACCCCCCCAGGATAAAGTCTCTGGCTGCTTGCAAAAGTTGAACAAAGCAGCTAAGAAGAACCAGAGGGAGGGAAAACTTATCTCGAAGAACTTACCAACTAGCGCCCCCCCAAGTTGTGCCAGGAACGCCCAGTTAGAAGCAACCTTGCTGGTGCTTGAGATGTGCTTTGAATCCACCCAGCTCTGGGTTTATCGGACTTCAAATTTCCCACAATGCCCCAAGGCACTGCTCTGGAGCATGACGGGAAACCTTACATGGCAGTGCAGGGAGCCATCCGGCCAGCACGGAAAAACCCAGTGGCAGCCCCACGCTTGTGAAGTCTGGCTGGAGACCGGCTGTGGACCTGCCAGGGTTGGGTGGCCGCGGGCTCCCGACTTGGCACTTGTACGGACTCTCGGCCCCCTCCTGCCCTAATCCCACTCCGGGTGGGAGAAAGTGATGTTGTAAAGGTTGGCCCATCTGGCAAAGACCCGTTTCTCGGTGATGAACCGGTGGTGGTTCCCTTTGTGGCTGCGCTCGTTGTGGATGTAGGTGGTGCATTCGTCCGGCCCCTTCGGTTCGTAATAGTGATAGGGCAGCCTGTGGGGAGGGGGCTTCTTGCTGTAGGGAGAGAGGCCGGGTGAGACCGAGAAACGGGATCCGCGCCCGGGAGAGCCAACCACGGGGAAGCGAGACGGGACTCACGTGCAGTAGCTGGGAGGCACCATCCCGTAAACGTGGAGCCTGTCGCACAGCTCGACGGCGATGACCATGGTGAACCACCCGGTGCTCAGCCACGACCGCGAGGTCAGTCTTGGGAGAGACGCCAAAGGAAAGAAATGGGAAACGGTTTTGAAGCTCCCTCTTGGGTCGTGAAGCGGTGGGCGCATGAAAAGGCAGGCGCTTCCGTAAGCCGCGGCTGGCTGCCTCCGGTGCCCAGGGTGGCTCGGCCGGTGGAGCAGTGGCATGCATTTCTCTAGCCGCTCTGGGCATCAGAGGGAGCCAACTGCAGCTCGCAAATGCCTTTCAATGACATTTAAAAAGTCAGATCCTCCCAATTTTTTTTTTTTTTTTTGCTCTTCTAGACCAGCGTTTCTCACCCTTGGCAACCTGAAGATGGGTGGACTTCAGCTCCCAGAATTCCCCAGCCAGTGTTTCGGCAACTCTGGCCTACAGGCTCACCTGTCCTTCCCCGTCTCTTTTCTGAACAAGTCGTCAAACTGTTTCATGCGCTTCGGAGAAGCCACGAAGGCCGTCATGTTGGGGAAACCCACGCTGACCCGCTCGATGATCTTGATCACGCTCTTCTGCATCTTGACGGGCGGACCCCAGAAAATCAGAACGGTCTCCAGGGTCTTGTTGACAAACTCCTGCGGCCTCTTCAGGACTCGGAAGGCGCTGGAATGGGCCACCACGCGGAAGGTCGTCTTGTTCCCCACATCCTCCGAGTACCCCGTGGTGGGAGCGTCGTTCATGCGAATGGTGCACTCTGACTGGTCAATGGTTTTGCCCAGTTTGCTCCCAAGAAGGTGGCTCGAACTGGTGATCAGCACACACTGGTTGCAGTGATGATCCAACGTCTGGGGGAGCAAGCAGCCAGGTTAGAACAGCGAGGGACCTGGTTGGGCTTAGACAACCAGGGAGGAGGAGGAAAAAAAGAAGAGGCAGAGGGAGAAGGAGGAGGAGATGGAGAAGAAGGAGAAGGAGAAGGAGAAGGAGAAGGAGAAGGAGAAGGAGAAGGAGAAGGAGAAGGAGAGGAAGTTGAAGAGGGAGAGGGGGAAGGGGAAGGGGAAGGGGAAGAGAAGGAGAGGAAGAGGAAGAGGAAGAGGGAGAAGAAGGAGTAGGAGGAGAAAGAAGGAGAAAAAGAAGACGAGGGAAGACAGGGAGGGGAAGGAGAAGAAGAGGGAAAGGGAGATGAATAAGAAGGAGGAGAAGAAAAGGAGCAGAAGAAAGCAATTCGGCCATCTCGCCATGTCACTTCGAAATGCAGATTTCGGAAGCGTGTCTCCAAAAGCTGCCCTGTGTTCGAAAGCCACAGTCCTTGCCTGCAGAAAACCAGATCCTCAGCGAATCCCTCGGGGGCCGTGCGCTTAGATGCCTCGTGGGGGAAATCTCTCTGGCTTGGCTGGAGCTCAGGAGCCCTCCCTGAAGTTGACCCACAGGCGGTTCGGGCCAGAGCCGAGGAGGGTCCCTTCCGCGCGTGCCGGAGCGGATGGCGGAACCCCCCCCGGCGGCTCCCCCTACCTTGTTTCCGGAGACGGGGAGGTACTCGCTCTTCACGCCCCACTTCTTGAGGCTGGAGGGTAGCTGGGGCTTGGCTTGGGAAGCGGAGTAGCGGAAGGCTTCGTTTCGGCCGTTGGAGTTGTAGATGATGAGCAACATGACCACGGCGAACAGGACCACCAGGACCACCGCGGGTGGGCTCTGCGGGTGCAGACAGGGAGCGAGAGGGGAAGGGGCCCGGTGCTCAGCGAGGACGGCAAGGCCCCCGGCTCAGTGCAGACCTCCCCGCCGCCCTGGCCCTGCTGCTTCCCCATTAATTTTGCAAACTTGGCTTGGCGTCAATTGAGGAGGCTGAAATTCACCGGAAACTGACCAGGCCTTCCACTAAAAACTGGATGGCACTAGGAAAACTACAGGGAGGGGCCTCCCCCCCCACCCCTCCGCCGTGCAGGACTCCGAGGCCCATAAAAGCTGGAAGAGCCCTCCCTCCCTCCCTGCCTTGCAGGCTGGATCAGGCCTGCAACCCTTGCAACGGTGCAAACGAAAAAATAAAGTTGCGCGCAGCAGGTGGTCTGAATTTTGCAAGAAAATGGACCTATTTGGCCCTGGGCAGGTGGACATTCCCCCTCCTTGGGATCTGGGGAGGGGGCGCCACTAAAAATCTTACCTTCCAAGAAAAGCTGAGGGGAGCTAAGGCTCTTTTCACCCTTCTGACCCCACCAAGGCACTTCCAGTTCATGGCTATTCTCCCTTTTTATTATTTGCATTTCCCTCTTCGCTGGGGCTCCCGCCCTCCTCCTCTCCCCCTTCTCTGTCACTCCCCCTTCCCTTCTTTCTCCCTGGAGAGAAGAGCTGGACTCCAAGCCCCATCATCCCCACCCAGCAGGGCCTTGGGGGCATTCGTGATCACAAATCCTTTTGGCCGGATTCAAGGGGGGAAAAAAAAGACGAAAAGGGGTTATTTTTTTTTTCTCCTTCAATCATTTCTGAATCTCCTGCTGGGGAGCTTTCAAGCTGAACAGCTGCAAAATAAGATGAATAAAACATGCGTCGAGAATCTTTTCTTTTTTGCCTGCTTCGAGACGACCATTTGCTCTTCTGGAAAATGGTCCTTGGTAGCCCACGATTTTGCCCAAGCCATGGCGGAGAATCATAAACATTCGTTTTTAGTTTTAGGGATCAACAGACCGCATTGGACTGGATGTTTTTACGCCATTCATTCTGTTTCTAATTTGCCCAAGAGCAAGAATTCCCCGGACGGATGTTGAAAGGATAAAATTAAAACAAAAAATTAAAAAAGGAACGTGCATCAATCATTCAAAGGAATCAAAATGAAAATAATATCCAAAATCAAAGAAAGGACACAAATGAAAAAAAAGGGCAATGCTGCGCTCCCTCCCCTTTTCTAAATAAAGCCTAAAAATCTAAAATACTTGCAGAAATCCATCATGTTTTGCCCTGGAAACTTTTCTGCGTTTGCTCCCGAGGGCAAAATTGATAAAATTATAAAATGGTTTTATGGGGGGGGGGGGTTGTAAATGTTTTGCATCGTGATGTGATGAAACTCTGAGGTTAAGGTGTGTTAAGAAAGCAGGCTGTGGTCTCTGCCGAAAACCTTTCCCCCACGGATTCTTTCTCTGCCTCTTTAGGGACTAGTCACATGCCTTGACTTTAAAAAAAAAAAAAATCCACACCAACTTTTTTCACTGAAAGTTTTGCCAAATCTTCCCTTCCTCCTCAAAAATGTCTCTCACCCCTTTTCTGTGCAACTTCCTCCCATTATCCTAGCAATCCGAGAACAGCTGACCTAGAGAAAACGGTTAATGTATTTTCCTTTAAACGCTTCGTGCACATCAAGTTAATTATTTAGAACAATGAGCCTCCGGATAATTGAGCAAAGGAACTTGCGCAATAGCTAGAGGAGGAAGCCTGCGTGCAGAATCCAGGGTTCACTACAATCAAGCAACGATTTTGCATATAAACTAGGCCTGCATCAGCTTTATGCTCCTGTGGATCGTGGGCAGCAATGATCTGACGCCCCGGGGAGCGGCTGGGGAGGGCCTTTCCCATTGCCCTCTCTCTCTCTCACATGCAAACCGTCCTTTCCTCCCACCCTTTCCGAAAACCCAGATATCCTTCGCTCAGATGCATTTTGCAGAATCTGGCGATGGAAAGGATTTACCCCCGTTTGCACCATCTGCCCCATTTAAACCCCACAGCCAGGAACGTGGGCCTTGGGACACGGAGGAGGATCTGCGTGTGTCCTCACAAACAGGCCAGGGACCCCCCTCCCGGTCCCCCGTTCCTACCTTGCGGTTTTTCATCGCGGTATCCGAGGTTCAGGTTGGAAACTCAGTCACCGTAACCTGAGCGCCTGTATAAAAGTCAAAGAAACAAAAGTCACCTTTGTAGCCCCCAGCTGGCCCCCACTTTTCACGCCCAGCAAACTTCGGATCACTCCAGCATAAGGAGAGAAAACCAGCAAACTGAAACAGGGAAGATCTGAAAGGACGGAGGAAGAACACATCTCCACAACATCTCGCTTCGTCTGTATCCAAGGCGCACCATGCTTTAAGGGCGCACGGGGTGGGCTGCGAGCTTCGCCCCAAGGGGCTGCAAACCCAGGACAAGTCTGAGCCGAGGGCTTCAAGATGTGGGAAGGAGCAAAATCAAGACTGACGTCTTTATTGTTCACAACGAGAAGCTTTGGAAGGAAAATATGTGCCGTGGCCTTTATTAAAACGTTGGGAGTACAGTTTTTAGCCTGTTGGGTCGTTCCCACGCTGGTTGTGTGGGTTGCTGGGTTTTGAACAGGGGGACGCCTGCAACGAGCAGCCGCAGAACACATCGGCCGAGGGGGCTTTTTTTTTCAGAGGGGAAGAAGAAGGGGGCAAAACTGAAAATGGCCACATACGATTCCTGCTGCGAGATTACGATAGCCCCCAAAATGGAGAGACTGCTATACCCACAACGGTTGGTGAAGAAGATGGAGCAAATATGGCAAAATGATTTATTTTACTTATTACATTTGTCCCCCGCCCATCTCCCCCCAAAATTAACTTGTTTGCTTAGTGGAAGATCAACTATTACATTTATGGGTGACTGGAAACCCCTTAGGCACCCCCTTTTTTTTGCTGGAAAAAGAGAAAAATGAATTTGTGATCAATGTGTTTGACGATTAGAAAGGGTAGACTATGGAAAGAAGGAAATTACGAAGTAACATGACAGAGAGATGGTGAAATATAAAAGCATTTATTACTGTTATTAAAAAGATTAGGGGCTGTCCGGCCAGCCAGGACTAACAATACGAAGCATTGTTTCAGAGCAGGACACCAAGTTATGATGTTAACCTCAGGCAAATCCCAAATACTTTATCGAAAAGTACGTAAAAGATTTGCAGTTTTGCTCAGAAACAGGCATCTTCCTCCTCACTTTCTGAGATCCAAGGGGAGGCTGGGATCCTTCTGAATTTTGGCATTCCCGACCTGAGTTTTCATTTCAAAGTCTGTTAAGAGAGTCTCTCCCCTGCAGCAACTGGAAAAATACACTCATTTACCCTGAAGGGACGGAGGAAGTATGGAAAGAAACACAGAGCTGGTAGGGAGGGGAGAATCCAGCAGACAGAATTAGCTCTGTAGGAAAACTTTGCTGACTCGGTTTCCCTAGGCGATCGGGAAACGAACCGATCGAACAAGAAATAGAAGTGTCATTTTCATAAATAAATAAAATAAGAGAGAAGCCCTTCTCCCTGGATTTAAGGGGACAAGCGAGTGTATTTCCCCACTTTTCTACAAAGGCCAAATGGGGCTGGAGATATTTTTCATTTTTTAAAAGAAATAATCATTTATGACATCTCTACGGAGTCTTTCCTGCAAGACTTCAAGGGTTGAAGCACTTCACCGCAACCCCAGGGTGTTTTCACTCCCACTCTGCAGGTCCCTCTGAAAAAAAACCCCTCCTTTTTGTAAGCTGGTACAGTAAAATCTCAATTCCAGCAGTTTTATGCCTCCAGAAGGCTTAAGATCTAATATTTTAGTCGCATCCCGAAACTCCGTACCGTTCTTTTTCCTTGCAACAGGATGGAAACCAAAGCAGAATTTGAGGTCATCCAGAGGGACCCCCCAAAAGTTGGGGGGAGGGCAGGGGGTGTGCAGGAGGGGTTGACCCTCCTCCCTGCAGACATTGACCCCCGACCCTGCAGACACCCCAACTTTTTGTCAAGATGGGGGCCACAACCACGTGATCCAAACCCTGACCTTTTTTACGCGCATCGCGATGCCCATCAAAAACGAGCATCGCTTTCATCGCACGGTTGGGGTGCCATCTCAGCCTTTCGGGCCCTGCCCCACGGATACCCCAGCATATTTTGCTCTTAGAGGGAGCCACTGGAACATCTGTGCATGCCCAACGTCCCCCTTGACCTACTGCAACGAGTGGAAAGGAAAAGCAAGGCTTTGGAGGAAGAGGAGAAGCCCCTGTTTACCATGGCAAGACGTCTCTTTGGAATGAAAGCGGGGGCAGAGCGGGGAGGGCCTTTTCCTTCGTGTCGAGTCGTCAGACGGCGCCATTTCCGACTTCCGGACCTGTCTTCCATGTGGGTGGGTTTCTTCTGTCCTCACATCACTGCTGAGATTCAGAGAGAGAATTGGCAAGCTGCTGTCCCACGGAGCGCTGTTGAATCACCACCCGGCTCACCGGTGGGATCGTAAAAAGAGCGATGCGTTTATGGCAGGCTCTTCTCACCGGTCTGCTGAACTTTATCTCAACCAGACCCGCCTTGTCTGGCGGGTCAAGCAGGCACTTGAAGAGGAGAATGCTTAATTTGGCTCAAGGGGAGCGGAACATCCGACGGGGCCCAAGGCCAAGCTGCAAAATATCCCCCCCTCCTCGCTGCCACCCAGATTCCATCTTGGGCAAACGGCTGGCTTTCTCAGATGGGGAGGGCATCTAGCCCTTCAGCCTGTCCATAAATGCCAAGGCAGCTCTGTTTTCACAGATGCCGCCGAAATGCCGGGCAATGACCCAAAGGGGTTAAGTCCCAACCCAAAGAGACAGATCTGGGGAAGGGAGCCTTCCAGCTGCAGCAAGAGACATGGAGCACTGTACCCCCATCACTGGGAAATGCCTCCCCCCAAAGAGCGGTAGCCGAGACTCCCTTCCCCACCCGACCCAACTGACTTCATCAACCCAGCCTCCCGCCCTTGCGTTTGCGAATCTGTGCCTCCGTTTCCCTCCGGAATTCCTATGCCTTCGAGGCTTTTTCCTCTTTTAAAGGCTTCTTCAGCTGGAAAGCTTGCCCCTTACTCCTGGCCTGGCCACCCCCCACCCCCCTCCACCGCTCAATCTTTTCCCACTCCCATGCTTAGAAAACTGGGGGATAAAATCGTTCTGACGCTTCCAGCTCCAAGAGGAAAATGAGATGGGGGACGCGGATGCCTGGATCTGTTTGGGAGCAGGCTTCCCCCAGCGGCGTTTTCCCCTTCCTTCCCCACAAAAGCCCAGCCTTCTTCACAAGGCCTGGGTCCGGCCAACTCACCCGCTTGTCCGACAGCCCAGTTCCAGGGAACGGAGGGGCAAATAGGGCAAAGGCTAAGGCTGCATTTTGGGTTTTCTGGCACGGCCGGTTTCTCCGGAGGGACGCCAACGTCCCCAGGCTAGCTCCAAATTCCAGGAGGCAGAGGGGTGGCGGGGTCCTCTCGGAGATTCCTCCGAAGGCTGGAGTCCGTTTTAAGGGCAGTGCATCTCCGAGGCTGTAGAACCGCTGGAATCCAGCAGGCGCCGGAAAATCTGGAAACTGGTTTCTGGGTCCTAGTGTGTGTCTTTTCCCCCTGCGTCCCACCTCCTGTCTCTCTCCTCCTCCTCCTCCTGCTGTGCCCTGATCCAATTTCAGCTGCTTTGGAAAAAAAGGCACAAGACAGGCCTTCGGAGGGACGGTGACGTGCCGTGGAGAGGGTCCATCTGTTCCCAGCCGTTTGGCGCCTTTCCTGTTTTGAGCAAATGATTCTCGTCTTGGCTGACGCAGCGGGGATGAATGAACACCGAACCAGCCCAAACAGGCGATCAAGCCCTGGCCTCCGAAGTCACAACAAGCCACGTTGTCTTCGCCCAGCATGCAAGAGTCCTGAATTCACCCTTTTCTGGATCTGTGCAACCCGTTTGGCCATGTGTTAAGGAAACGGGATGGGTTTGTTCAACATGCTAAAGGCGAGGGGAACCCCCCCCCCTTTGCTAACACTAAGCAAACTTGTGCAATGCAGCCTCCAGATCTTGATCTAATCTGGGTAATGGGTTGTGTGAACGGAACTCCACTGCCTTGGACTGAACCAAGATTCTTGGTTCATTTGCCCTGAATTGTCAAATCTCCCTGTACACGGACCACCACCCTCAAACAATGAAAATGGGACTTTCTGCATGCAATAACTGAATCTTTCACCCCAAACTGATAAAGTAATACTCTAGTCCTCATAGTTTATAATAAGGGGCTAATTCAAGCTGTATCAAGCATGCCTATTGCATCCATACGATGTGGAAATCTTGCATCTTGTGCCAAGCTATGTTTTAACCATGGTTGGTTGAATAAATCACAGCAAGTTGGGTTCGCATCACACTCTGAGACATAAAACCATGGTTTATAAACTAATGGCAAGGTTTGGGCAACTCACTAGCCCTGAACAGAATGACGTGCAGGATGATGGTTCAGTGGGTGAAGGAAGATCTCTTCTTGGTCTTCTGGCCAACTCTCACATGTCAATCTCTAGGGTAGGGTAGGGATTTGCAGCTGGTTTGTCTCCTTCCAAGGGCCACCAAAGCAGTCTGCAAGGGACAAAGATCTCCAGGGCACCCAGGAAAAGTGTTGGATTAACACCCCTGAGCAGCAGAGCTGGATTTTGAGAGACTTACGTGTGGGTGCATCATTTCCAGAAACTGCAAAATGCAATTATCCTGGGCTACTAAAACTACAAGATCACCCTAAAGCTGAAATGCTCCAATATCTGGGCCTTGTTGAACTTTCTGGCGATGCAGGAATCACTGCTGGAAAAATATTGGAGACATTTAGGAAGAAGCCCGTCGCTCCATTGAAAGGGTATTTGGTAAACCCATTCCCCCTGGCTCCTCTCCGCTCCAAATTCAGTTGCTATAGTAACCCTACATCACTTCTTGTAGATCTCTGCGCCGGTTGAAATAGGCTTACAAAGGGTAATGCTGGGATTTTTTAAAAAAAGCAACGGCATTTATAGCCCACACTTTGAAACAGGCACGCACAAACAGTATTGTTTAAAAAATTGCCTTGGTCCAGAAAGCCCAAACAGGAGATATATGGGCGGCATTGTTGGGAGGGCAAATTTTCCCTTCCTTAGGTTGACCACACAGCGTGATCCAAATTCCCTGCAAATTCCACATTTCAGATGCAAAAGGAATGCATTGTTTTGCCTGTCCTCAACCCCCAACAAATGGGGGCTTGTTCCCATCCTGCTGACTCAGCAAACCCAAAAGTTTGATTCCATTTTTTCCCCCCAACCTGAAGCGAGTAAGCGAACCAGCTTCATAATTTCCTGCTTGGGGAGAAAAAAAGCCCTTTAACCTCCTCAGCACCCTCCCCCTGCAGATAGCTACAAAGAAGTTGGGGAGCTCATGGTGGGGACTGTAACTCAAAAGTAGTCAAGGATAATGGGAGGTGTGATCCAGAAAGCTCTAGGTCCCTTACCCCATCAAACATGTGACCAACATCTCCTCTTCCCCCAACCCTTCACAGCCAAAGACTTCCTTTTTCAGCAAGAATTATAACATTTCCACCCCCAGTCCTCCAGCATAACATTTACACGCTTAACTGGGCTTGGAGTTTCCCCTAATTTAAATTCCAATATTTTTGACAGCTGTCTGTATTTTTCTCTGCTTGATAGAAAAGGGGAATGATCTAAAGCGAACAATTATGCATATTAAAGGCGAATCAGATCAAATTTGCTTCCGCTGACTAAACAAGCAGAAAAAAATGGACATCAAGCTGAGATGGGGGTGCCCAAGCAAGAGGCTTGGGGGGGGTCTCTGCCCCCTCAAATCTCTCTTTCATTCCCTTGCCTGATTTATCCAGATTATGTGATCTGAGTTGGATCTTTGCTTTTCATTTCGTTTGTGTTTCCAGAGACATACTTACTCAGAGTGGTTCATGCCTATCGGTGCCAGTTTCTAAGGGATATCTTGGCTCTCTTTTTGATTGGCAACTATTCAGATCTTGCAAAAAGGAGGAGGAGGAGGAGGAGGAGGAGGAGGAGGAGGAGGAGGAGGAATTGGACTAGAATAACCTACCTTTGGGTCAAGTCCAGAAAACTGCAGCAAGGCCAGGTTCTTGGCGAAAAAAGCACTTCCAAACTGAAATCACGGCATACGAGCCAGCAACGGTTCAGTAAATGGGAAAACAGAAGGTCATGTTTATTTCTGCCCCAGAAACTGCCCAAAACAACTGGAGTACAACCGGATTTGCACAAACAGCCCTGCAAAACTTTGGCGCAAATGTTTATTGGTTTGGCACTGATCCAAAGGTATTCATGATTGATGCCAGCCAAAAATGGTAGGAGGGAAACTGAGGAAACCGTTGAGTGGGCAAGGCACACAGGGGTGTGCAAACACACACAGAGTAGGACCCATTATGAAATCCAACAGACGTTCAGACTGTTTGCCAAGAGAGAATCGAACAGGGATGGGCAACCACGGGGATCCGGGTCCCCGTCCCTTAAAGAAACCCCATTGGGCCTGCTCCTGAGATCCCGTAGCTGCTGTTGTGCAACTTCAGGAAAAGGTGTTTGATTTCATGGAAGGTGGTTCACACCAACCCCCTCCCCGAATCCATATCACTGCAAAGGCGATCGTCAATTTTGGGGGGGAAGCTGAATCTCAGGAATGGCCTCTTACAGCGGGTACATCTCTGGCGCTAATGACCATTTTGAAAGCAGGAAGAGGAATGTGGCTCCTCTGGGGTCCAGCTAGACCAAGGCAGTTATATCCAGTTTTTTTTTCCCCCAGCTTTTGATTTGTTTTCCTAAGGACTGATTCTTTTGCAGGCGCCTCGGCTAAATTTCATCCAGTATTTTTCCACCCAGGTCTTCAACCCATCAAGGGCATTTGTCCACGTTGTTTCTGAGATTGAGCTAACCCACCCAAGTTCAGGGTCATCTGCAGATTTGGAAAGCGTTCCCGTTTCATCCAAACTAGGAATGAAAATGAGCATTTGGGTGGTTAAGAGAGATCTCATCCAGATGCTCCCCCTCTGGGCTCAGGAGAGGGGCAAGGAGACATCTACGTGAGGATACAACCATGGGAAAAGACACATCAGATCTGCTGAAGCTGTAAACAAGCTACTGTAAACTGGTTTAGTTAAAGTGCTGGACCGTCAAAGTCAATTTACATCTTTTATGTACCAGATCTCCATCTGGGCAGACCTTTGGACTAGGTGGCCTTCAAGGTTTCTTTCAACCCTTGCCTTCTCTGATCCTGCCAAATAAATGCAAACCTTACCAAACTAGAAGAGGGCAGGAGAGACTGAAGGAGGGGGACAATTCTCCCAAGGCATTAGTTGTTCTGCCCTTAAGTTTCAGGGAACGTTGGCAACACGAAATATCAAAAGGGTTTGTGTCACTTTCTTCTGAATCCAACAATCCAGAATGTGCACCACAGGGGAAACCAGGTTTACAGCATCAAACCCTGGGCCTCAACTTCTGAAGAAAACATTTCCTTTTCCTGTGCAAGGATAATAATACACCACTGGGCACACAGGAAATTAAGAGCGAGAGAGAGAGAATCTGTGGTCTCTCAATAGAAGTTAAAAATAGGTGGCCAGCAGAAGAGGATGAGAGATGTTCTGCTCATGGATGCGTCTCTCAGGGCGAGTTTTCCAACCTTCTGCAACAACAGGATTTCTCCAGCCCCCACCAAATGGCTAAGGGTCAACAGGCCAGCCGCAACCAGCAACTTCTACCCATCGGACCACGACGGGTGAGTGAAGACAATGTTCCTTTTCTTGGCCCAGTGTGAAAAGACAGCCTTCTCGGTGATGAAGCGGTGCCCGCCCCGGGCAGCTCGTTCGTGAGCCAGATACATCCTGCATTCGTCCAGTCGCCCCTTCTCAAAATAGTGGTAAGGAACAGGAGGCTGGTTCTTGTCTCTGCCAATCAAAGGAGCCAAGTTTAAACAACTATATATAGCCTGTGAAGAGCCGACACGCAATGATTACATCCACGTTTCACTGGCAGGAAAGGCAGCCTCAAATAACCGACCATTATAAAATCAAAAGATTGATTCAGGCCACGGGAAGAAAGGGGGTTTCCTTTCTAATCATGACCTGGGGGAGGGGAGACCCCTTTGATATGGCAGCCCCATCTGTTTGCCTTCTGGGAAATGGGTGTTTTGTGGCTCAGCTGTGGCACTGTTTTGGGAGAAGGCCCCCAAGATGCTCTCCACATCCCCACCCTGGCCACTGGGCCTCAAAGCGTAGCCCCCCAAGATTTAAGGGATAAAAAGGAGGATGACAGCCCTGATCAACTCTGCTCCATTTGCTTTGCAGCCCAGGAAGAACGCCTCCAAATTACGTACTTGCAATAGTTCTCGCTGACCATCCCGAAGACAAAGATCTGCTCGCACAACTCCATAGCCAAAACCATGGTGAACCAGCCTGTGCTGAGAAAGGAACCGGATTTCATCCTGCAGGTTGGAAAGAGAAGATATCGTGGTTCGATCCAGGTGGAACAAAGAAAAGCCCTGCCAACTCCTGGCTGGGTTTGCTTATGGGGCTAAGCTCTGGTTTGTTTAATCAGAGTCGGTTGAAGAAGGCTGCCATCGCCTGGGCAAATGAAGAAGGGACTGTGGAGACATGGCGTGGGGTTTACAAAGTGCAAGTGGGTTCACGCAAGCTCACCATGCACGGTATAGAGCAGTGTGTGAGCTCAATGTCATTGGGCTATATGGACCGGTGGTTTCACGGGGCATTTGAGACCCCCCGGTCTATCAATGTAGTCCCTGGAGAAATTGGTGCAGGGTCCATCCACCATGAAATTACAAAGAAGTGCATCATTTGCTCAGAAAGACCTCTCATTTTGCAACAGCCGAGCTCCAGCTGTCTCCATTGCTCAACATTTTGAGTGCCTTTGCCCTCGCTCCTACCTGGTCTCTGCTAACCACTCAACTCACTCCAAGCTTTCAACCGGGGCCACCAAGAATAAACCCGAGAACTTCAGCATACGGAGCACACGCTTTACCGCTGCACCACATTCCCTCCCTGGTGAGGGTGGATTCTTCTCACCTATTCTTTCCCGTCTCCACTTGGAAGAGTTCATCACAGTGGGCCATCATCTGTTCGGTGAGAGTATAGAGACGCAAAGCTGGGTACATCTCCTTGACCTTCAGAAGCGTCCGATAGACTAAGCCGATCTTCTCCCGGCTCATCAGCCGGGGAGGTCCCCAGATGATGTAGGTGGTGTCGCAGGATTGCTTGAAGAAATAGCTCTGATTGCGTAGGAGCAAAGGGATGCTGGTGTGAGAGACCACACGAAGGGTGCTCCTGCTGCCCACATCTTCCTCGTATCCCTGGGTCGGCGCCTGGTTCATTCGCAGAACGCACTCCTTTGCGTCTATCTCTTTCCCGGAACGGGAACCCAACATCTGTCCAGAACTGGACACCACGGCACATTGACGACACGGCACTTGAGCCAGTGGCTAACCAGAAGGAAGAGAATTAGAAGAAGCTTGGAGAACAGCCCACTAGGTGAACGTTGGGGAGGGGGATTCTTCTGCAATGAGGCTCCCTGCAGAACATTTCATTTTACGTATATCCCAAAGGGAGATGTAGCCCAGAGAGGTAAAACCATTCGCCCTTTCAACTCAGAGAAAAATTTTCTTCCCTTCACTCTGAACTGGCTTTACTAAGTCAATTCTAAATGGGTATCTCATGCTATAACCACTGATCTTCAAATTTGTTCTGGCTGGGTCTTGCCAAAAGAAGTTCTACTGTGCTTGGCTACACAAAAGCACTCCACCACACAAGCTTTTAATGCAGTCCTTCTTGCCATCCATTTGTACCAGTCCAAGATTTGTATCTTGGTACCAGTCCAAGATTTAGCTGCAGAAGGTCCCTGGGCAACATCCCACCCCAACTGCCTTTCTTCCTGTTCTTGAGGTCGGACTCACCTTTCCATCGGGAACGCTGATGTAACCCTCAAACTGGGCAGCTCCAAAGCCCCGTGCCAGCTTGCCCTCCTTTTCTTCCCTAGGCTGGCAGCTGAGCCAACACGGGGAAACGCAAAGTTGTGGACATAGCAGGAAGTAGAGGACGCAGCAGGCACACAGCACAATTAGAGTGAAGAACAGGCGAGGCTGGAAAACAGAGAAAGATGTGTGGATAACCAGACAGATAACCAGAGACAAGCAGGACTCAACTGAACAGAGAGAAGGTCTAGGTTGCTCAGTCCCCACCAGGTAGACCAGACCAGGGAAGCCTAAATTATCTTTATTGAAATTTGCTCTTGGAACAGAATCTTGCAGATCTGATTGTGATGACCTTCCTCTCCCTTCTTGTACTCATGTGAATTAGGGTTGGCTTGGAGCTGCTTCCAAGCGTTATCTCACTAAATTCTAGACTTAAAAAATGTTTCGGCCCCTTTTGCTCCTGCCTATCTCCCTCCAGGTCATCTTCCTGACTTTCTACCCCATTCCAGGAAGGTAGACTGTTCTTGAATGAGGAGAAACTCAGATCTGTTTGAACGTCAAGCCCCACCTAGCTGGGAAAGATCATGGAAACCAGAATCCCCCAGGCTTCAGGAAGGAGATCTTAATACTGTACTAGCATTAGGGATAAATCCAGAATCTTGGAAAGCGCAAAAGGGATTCCAAAGCCTCATTTATTAGTGAGTTCATTGGGTTGGAATATGGTGAGCCTTTTCTTCCTAGCTTTCTCGCCATGTGGGTTGAGTTGCTGTTCACGAGCTAAGCTGCCCGAAGATTCTCCTCCTATCTCTGGATTCAATTTGGCTAATCTCTCTTCTGCAGCCTCTCACACCCAATACGCCACTTTGAGACATGGCCAAGCATATTTATTAGAACTTACGGAGAAGGTTCTCCTTCTCCTTCTCCTTCTTCTTTTTCAAATAAAGCTTTTACTGGAAACTGTCTTACATCATTTCCCCCCAATCCCCCAGTGTGAGGTGTGACGAATTTCCCAGAGAAGGGGATTTTACACTTAAGATTGTTCCAAGAAGCAAAGAGAGCAACTCCTTTTTTGACGCTGCAAAGGGCCCACCATCTTTCAGGTCTAATTTTAATCCAACCACGGTGCCTTGCTACTACCGCCAGACTCAGAAGCTCCCTCCCATTAGCTTAAATCCTAGCTAGGCCAAACCAACCTAGATCCAGCTGAGACTTTTGAGAGTATTTGACCTATTTTTTAGCAAGGAAGTAGAATGTTGCCCACTTCAGATATAATTGGAACTTATTGGAAAGCAGACACACGTACATGTGTGGGCATGCACATTACATTAGTGTAAGGGATCTCTTGGCCCAAGGTGTGAAGTGTTCATGCCATCTGCTTGATTCCCATCCTAAAGCTGATGTTTTGGGGTTTAAGCAGATCTTGAGCGTGTCTACGATGCCATAACCGGTTTATATCCCCATGTGATTTGATCTGCCCCAGGTGGCCCAAAATCTCAGAGGACCTGAAGACAGTGGGAGGAATGAAACTTGGTGTTTAATCACTTTGGTCACATTTGAAATTATAACGGGAGCACAACTTCTGGAGATCTCTGGCGACTGCAGAGCCATTGATACTTACAAGCACCTGCATCGTTTAAGGAGTTTTCAGCCATGTATCTGTCTTGGACTCCTGGGACAAACGCCCTGCAAAGAGACAGACCAGGGGGTCATTCCAGAAGCTAGTTCTCCGTGAGGTCAGCAGCAGCGCGGATCCATTTTCTCAAGCCAGAAGTGGCATCTGTAGAAACTGGATAGACGACACCGGCGTTTCTCAAGCTTAACTATGAGACCTTTGCAGAGCAGGACAGGAGATGTTCTCAGACTAACTGTGCTGGATCACATCTATGCCCTGACGCAGCCTTTGCCACAAGGATTGACCCACAGCCTATCCCCACACACTGTCTTTCCTTCCTTTAATTTCCAGGAATGACCGAGAGTTTGAACCCTGGGAAAGAAGGCAACCCCCTTCCCCCCCCCAATCATCCCCTTACTTCCTTCATTCCAAGCTAAAATCTTCATTTTTTGATGATTACAGTCCTTCCTTGCTAGGGAATTTGGGTTGCTCCCCCCCTCCCCCCTTTCCTAGCTCTGTAATATCTGTATGGTATCATGGCCAAAGAGTTGTTATTAGGACGTTTCACCGATAACTTTATTCTCAACTTCCCTCCAGATGATGCCCAGCGTAGAATCCATCTTTTTTCCATAGAAGAGATTATTAAACCCCACATTCAGCAGACCAGAGAGACTGCTTTAGGGACAGCCTTTGAGATGGATCTTTTGGTTAGGAAAGCAGCAGCAGGGCGGCTGAGGATGATGGGAGTTGCAGTAGCTGAACCCACAGGGCACTGCTGGTTGGGAGGCAGTAACAGACCGTCAAGCAGAGCAGATCAACTTCTCTTTTTAAAGAGAGGAGGAAAAATGAATACACTGACGACTCTCTTTTCTACCATGAGGCTTCCAGCAATGGTAAAT